CCCTTGCTGGGATAGGCCATTATTACAATGGAAGAGACCATTAAATGCTACAACAATTCCAGCTGCTGGTGTTCTCAGTGTTAAGCCAACACACACTCTGTTTAACCTATGGTAGAGATGTAAGTATAAACACTGAATCAGGTCAACAGAGGAGAAATATCACTCAGTAGCTCTCTCTTTCTCCTCTCTTTCTCTCTATCTCTCTCTCTGTCTGTCTCTGACTCTGTCTCTGTCTCTGTGTGTGTGTGTGTGTGTGTGTGTGTGTGTGTACATACATGTATGTTCATGTCCCTGAGCATGGTATAGGAGGCTGAATCCAGGGCCTTGCACATGTTAAGAATACTTACTACTGAACTACACTCTCAGACCCATGCTATGCCTTTTCATAACCTACCAGAATGTGCACATGAATATTCAGAGGTATATTATTTGTAATAGTTCCAAATGTAAACAACCAGATGTCTAACAGCTGATAACTGGGTAAATGAAGTATGGCATATTCATAAATGGAATATTATTCAACACCAAATAGAATGAAGTACTTACATGCTATGACATGGATGAACCCTGAAATTATGCTAAACGGAAGGAGCCAAACATAATAGGTAAATCTGTAGACACCGAACGTAAACTAGTGGTTGGCAGTGGCTGTGGGGAAAAGGGAAAATCTCAAGTGGCTATTACCAGATAAAAGGGCTTTGTTTTGGGTAGGGAGTATGCTGCCGCTAGACAGTATAATGACTGTACAGTCTTGAGCAGACACGTCAAAAGCCACTCATGGTGTACTTCACAAGGCGGACTTTTAGATCATACAGCATTGCATTCTCTTTAGATTAGATCTCGAGTTTAAAAAACCCCTAATGACCTTGCTTTTCTCTTATTATTGTGCTTGCTCCTCATACAGCAACAAGTTAAGGCACTGCCTGCCAATGAACAGTGAGCCTCACTCTGAACCTCCATGGTTAGCCAGATCCTTCCCTGTTGTCCCTCCCTCCATGCCCCTCCCTCCCTAATACATGGTCAAGTCGAAACCAAAAACATGCTAGCTTTGGGTAATGTTTAGAAGCTTTTTGTTTCTATTTTCAATATAATGACAGTCTAGGTGAGGCTTCTATTATGCAGATAATAAAGCTCAGAGTCAGAGCCTTTAATGCCACAGAATGCTAGTCTTTTAAGACTTTGACAATGACTTACTTTGCAGAGCAGGTTATGCAGAGCAGCTTCACATTCCTCCTGACTGCCTTCCACCATCTCTCTAGAAACCTGTGCTATCTCATACTCAGAGAAGGCCTGGAGCTGGCTGCTGAGCACACCATCGCAGGAACAGCATTGCGTGCAGTATTCTGTACATAGTTAAGCAAACAAAGTATACAGATGCTTGATGAATAAAACCATTCTAGACTCAGAAAGCAGAGAATCATGATGTGTCCATCATCTTTGCAGAAAAGAACAGAGCCATAGGTCTCCAGCATCACACCTGAAGCAGGGCACTACGCATTTGTGGAATGAATACTCAGGAAATAAACTTTACACACTGGGTAAACAGTGCGTCTTTTCCAGAAAAAATTACAAAGTCTTAGTTGGGACACAGTGCCCAGGAGCCATGCACAGACCCAGTGCTGCGACATGCAGACAGGCCATATGCTGGAATGGACACTTGGTTTTGTTTTGTAAAGTACTCTCATTAACCTCCATCACTGAAACCGAGCAAACAAGCAGAAACAAAATGTTGATAGTCATTCTGACATGTTCAAGGCAAAGGGGGCTTGTTCCATTCCTGAAGCTGAACATGGATAATTATGCCATCAATGCCTCAGCATTTTTAGCACTCTAGGTGATATGCTGGGGATGTGTATAAAATAAACAAAGACACTGATCTCTAGATTTTATCTAGAAAAACAAGTCAGGCGTGTACACTGGACTGTACCTTTTCTTTGGTGGACTTTTCAAATGATAATTCCTTCCACTGTCACCATTAAATCTTAATCCATTCCAGCTCCTTGCATGGGTCATTGAGTCTATATGTACTGCTGTTATTTTAAAATGTTTCCCCTTGGTAGGGAAAGAGGGGGAGAAAAGATGTTGAGAGCCAGATGGGCCTCTTCACAGTTCATTTATCAAACCCAATACGCTGGGCTCCACCCTCCTCTCTCTCACTATTGCAGTTAAACTTCCATATAATTTGGTAATCATTTTCATTATCAGACAGTGACCCAAAGCAGCCGATCCTGGGCTGCTCAGCTCTTGCAGCTGCTCTTTCTCTGCCTGCTCCTACAGTAGACCCTAAGAGCTTCGGGTTTTATTAGCTGCAGACTGACCTCTGGGCTGCGGAGGTCAAGAAGGGGTCAGATCAGAGGGCTTGCCCAGTTCTTTAAAAGCTATAACAAGCTGTCCATCAGGCAGAGTGGACTGTATAAACAAAGGCAAATCTTCAGAAATTCGGTACCACTTCTGTTAACACTTACCCAGCATTCACACGGTGCTCCTGATGTATTTTGGATCATTCAACTCCGGGGAAGTGAATAGACAGCCCTAATAAGCCTATTTGGAGGGCACTGTTTATAAGATTATCGAGTTTGGGGAAGAAAACCCAACAGCGCTCAGATGTCCCTCTAGAATCACGGGCTTGTGTGACACTGTGACAAACTCAGTTACCCCAAGTCACTGCAGAATTGACACTTTCCTCAAGAAGCTAAATCACAGGGAACATATGCTTTTGGTTTCAGGCATGTGGAGTCCCAGACAATGGCTCCACTCCTGGCCTGAGAGAAGGACACATATTTTATGACCAAGTTACAAGTTCCACTTGAAAGGTTCTCTGGAGATCACGAGGGCAGATGAACCTGCTGAAGAAAGGGCTTATGATGGTAGCCTGGCACTGAAGCTATGCCAGCGGGGGTCGGGCTGACCTAAAGGTCTTGAAGTCGCACAGCTCAATGAGTGTCATAAGTCAATTAGTCACCCGGATGCAACTTTCTGAAGGAAAAAAAAATCTCTATTATCTAAATCTAACTGGTTCCTTATTAGCTTTGATGAAGGTGAAATGCTGTAATCTACGGCTTGGTCTCTGGTGAGTGCTAATTATTTTCTGTTAAAGCACAATGCTTTTAATTTGTTGTTACTGTTTTCTTCATGTAATTCCAGAGCATACAATAAGCCCATCTTTAAATCGCAGACAGCAAGGAAGAAAGGCACCTTCTGGAGTGTTTATAACTTTTACCACCACCCGCAGGATGGCCATGCAAGGCCTGGCCTGTGCCAGACGCCGGGCTGTGCTTTGATGAGCAAAGAGAGGGATATGGTGACCGCCTGTTTATCCAGCTCATATGGATGAGGCTTTGAGATAGGGCATCGAGATGGGAAACATCAAATGGGGGCAGGGGCGGGTGGGGAGGATACGGTTACTTAATACTCCAAGGACACTTTGCCTTGGGAGCTCTCAGGACACGGACCTCTTGAAATTTTCTTTCAGGTGTTTGGTTTTAAGAGGGTCTGCACAGTGTCAGCTGCTAAGCCCCTTCTTCCCTCTGCTTCTGCCACAAAGGACCTGCGAATTTTTGTTTCAGATGCTAGACTACATCAACTTCAGCACTGGCTCCAGCGCCTGATTAAACTGTTAGCAGCAAAGGGTCAGAAATGCTGAAGCCAGACACCTTTTAAACAGGCCATCTTGGCCATGTTGTCTAATGAGCTGATGCCATAGGAAATTGCCAGTGACAAACTATATGCATCCAACAAAAGACAGCCATTCCTGGTGAGCGGAGAAGAGTGTGGAAGAGAAAATATAAGGGATACATTCTTCTCTCCTTTCTTATTTAATAAGGAGCACCAGAGAGAAGATAGAATGTGGCAAAAAGAGAAAGAAACCTTTCTGATGTCCCAATGCTGATATTCCACTATTTAATACGATATAATACAATTATAATAATGGTAACACAAAAACCGCAAAATTTAATTATGGAAAGTTAAAATGGCAAATCACCCCTTTGTCACAGCAGTTGGAAACTCATTTACTGTGACTACACTGTGAGAAAGGGCAATACTCAAAATGAGGATGCTCCTCTTAAACACAAGCCTGAATCAGACAGAGATCATGCAGCCACTGACGAAGCAGCTTTCTGATGCCCAGTGAGAAGCAACAGCTCCTGCTGCCTTTCTTGGAAAATGCTCCCTTTCAAACACATCTATTTTTAAGATTATAATTACCAGTAAAGCTATCAGTTAATATAAATTCTGCCATATGAAGTTTTAAAGAATATCATGGACATCAATAAAATTGTTCTTTGACTCCCAGGGACACAGAATTTCTAGGCATAAAATAGAACTGTGAGAAAAACACAGTATCATCTCCTGATTCCTCTCCCTCCTGTGTGGAGATGGTCCAGGATTTTTACCAGCTATGCATAAAGAGAATCCCAACATTTGGGGGAGCCAGCTCTGACCTCTCAGATGCCAACTGTTTTTAGCAAGATAACACTAGACTTCCCCTGTAAGCACACTCCATCAGAACTGATGACTTATACAAACCTCCCCCCAGTGACAGCTTTCCAACCCACAGGTAGCTCCATGCACAAAGAAAGCAGGCTGAAGCAAAAGAATCTCTACTCGGCCACTTCTGAAAATGAGACTGATAAATACACTGCTTCCAGTCTGTCGCTTGCAGGGACACAGTCGACTTGGTGGACCTCCCAGGCGTCTGTCTAACCCAATAGTAAAGCTTGTCTTCAGACTGCTGATCAGAAAGGGTGCTTGTGCACCAGGTACTTAAGCTACATTATGCTCAAGATGCAAACCTGCAGGCTAAATGTTGCACTCGAAGAGAACTCATACACACATATGGACAACGTCAGGCATCATGATAACTGAGGAGGTTAACCAAGAGCAGGAAAGCTAACTTCAGCTCAGAATGTCTTCAACGTGCTCACTTCCTATGGCCACAAGTGAGAGGAGCAAGCTGAGCCAGGTCAGGGACACAAACCCCATCTCACAGAAGCACAAACCTGGTGTGCCATTCTTTCCTCAGGTTCTGGCGCACGGTGAGCGGGGCCAGGATGGCAGCCAGAATTTCATTCCTTTGTTCCACAGGGAGTCCCTCTCTTTTAACTTCACGAAGCACAGCATTTGTCTAGAAGAAATGATTCCCAAAAGAGAAAGAAAAAGTGAAAAATTAATAATAAAAAAAAAGCCCATAAGCAAATAAGGACAGTAAATCAATGGCTTTTTTATTACAGTTCCCTTGCTAACAAATCAATACGGTAAATGATGGTCAAAAATGGCCAGCATATATTCTGGGTTTAATCAATGTACATGGCACACAGGGCAAACTCCAAAGCACCATTGCCTAAAGAAACGTGTCCAGACGCTATGCATTCTCACTCTCATTTTCTCAGCACACCAACCATTTTTTTCCCAGGGAACTGCCTACCATGAGCTATTATTAGAAATGGTTTTCATGGACTAGTCACTGTGAGTTGTTTGTTTTGCCTTAAAAAACAACAACATCAAAGAAAACATAAGCTCTGTGACTTCCCTGTCTACTGCCACCCCGTGGAGGTTTTCTATATGGCCTCTCTCTTGAAACACTACTTTCAATTTCTACCCATGTCAGAGGTTGGGGGCGTTGTCACTCATTTCCCTTGCATTTTCCAAATCAAGATCTGGCAAAGATCTAAATAAGGGCATATTAGTCAGAAAGGGCAGTATATCTCAATAAACATCTTTAAAATTTGTGACAATTACTGGCATTTATTGACTCTTAAATATTTTTTTGTGTCTTACTTGGAATAGCTCTGTCTCTTTTCTGGAATACTACATCACACAGTTAAAGCTGAAAGCAGCCCAAAAAAGCCATCTAGTGTACTACCATGCCTGTGTGCATGCGATACTTCACCAAAACAAAGGACAATGGACACATCCAATAGGCTCTAAGTGCGGTGAAACTAACTTACAAAGTGTCTTTAGTGTGCCCTCCCACCTACCATCGTTTCAATTGTGTCCAATGGCTTTTGCTTTCCATACACAGTGAGGAGTCTCTACGAGGGGAAGAGAAGGAGTGTACAAGACTGTGTCACAGAAACAGAGGATGCTGTCCCGTCTACCACCATCTCCCACTAACCACCTTACTATTTGTCAAAATGATAAATGAGAAAGAAACATGAAAAATAAGTACTGCAAACAAAAAGAACAATGGATGACTCTTAAGAAATCACTGTTACATACACGATAGGCTCATAAAAATGGCAAATTGTGAGAGCACTATCTGCTTCATGAGGGGCTGGCTCTTCACTGCTAAGAATTAACTTTATGATCTTCTAAGATAGCCAGAACCCCAGGTTTTAGTTCCCCGGGATTCAGGCATTCTCTTATGTCCTTACAAGTTATACAACATCTAACATTTTTTCTTTAAATTGGCCCATATAAAAAATAGAAATATCCACTTTATAGAAAAATGGAGAAACAGTGGTACTCTTCATAATTGAGATGAAAACCATAAAGACAGTAAAAGCAAGGTGTCTGCCTGCCCCCCTCTATGTGGGTCATTGCTTGCTAGGATTCCCAAATGGCAGTACACTCCTGTTGGATCATAAAGGAAGGTATCAGAAATATCAGAGAATATCAGAGAAATATCACATTGCAATAAGATAGAAGAGCTCAGTAGTACTGATAACTAAAGCCCATCCACTGCAATGAGGACCGCTGATGCATCACATAAATTGAAAAGAGGCCAACGGAATCCCCTTCTCCCAGAACTCCAGGAGTGCCAGCTAATTTTATCCTGGGGATTCCTGTGGGCCTCATGCCACACTCAAGAGGGAAGGCCAGATGGCAATGGCATAACTATAGAGCATTTCCTAAGTTTAGAGGTAAGTCCCTGAACAAAAGGAAATTTCAGAATGTCAAATGAGCATTCCTCTTACATGATAATTAACTAGTATTTCTCCTTACACTAATGCCAGCTCCTCAAGCTTGACTTACCTGGGGAATGTTAGTAGGCATTTTCCATTAGTACTAACATAGAACACTCATGTACATTCCATTTTATAAAAACAATCTCCTACTAGCCAAAACACATCGCCTCTTCCCTCACCCTCTCACATGGAAAGCAAGCCACAGGGTTAAGACCAAGCCTTGAGAGTTGCACTCCTTTTCAATAAAGTTTGAGAGAACAATGGCCAAATAAGAATAACCAAGCCTATACGTAAGAGGACTAGACCTTCAACCTGAGTCTCCTCTGTGGCAAGGCCTCCTCGATCTGTACATGGACACACAGACTGCTTGTCCAGTGCACCTGCCGTTCTGGTTCTAGTGCTCGGTTCATCTTCCACATCCAAAGTTGTGCTAGTTCAACAAAAGGATGCCAGAAAGTGTTGACTACTGGAAAGTTAAACATTTTTATAAAGCTATCTGGCAACCATGACCAGAGCCCTCCAGTGTGCCAGGAACACAAGCACATCCCTTTGGACATTCCAAGTGCAAAGGCTCTCCTAGAGTGGCTTTCACTTCTGCAACTGGCCCGACCTCCATCCATCAGATTGGAGAGACCACTCTCCCCTAGGCTCCTGCTCAACCCTTGGCACATCCCTTCTCATCTCCTGGGTGAATCTTCTTCCTGAGACCATCAACTGTTGCCATCCTGAGGTCATACGCTTCATTCTCTTGTCTCTTTTGCCTGCTGTCTAATTTAAGGGGTCCCTGTAGACTCACTACATCTACTTATCTCCCCTCTGCACTGGTTTCTGCCTCATACAACCAACAACTGGCTATCTCTCCTTAAGCATGACACCTCAAACTCGGTACCACAGCCTCCAGCTGCTCACATCTGAACCTCCTTTCCTACCCTATCTCTCTTCTCCTCACCAATCCTACCCTAGAACAAGTGCTACCATTATCAGCACAATACACAGACTCCATCCCTGGAATCATCTAGTCTCCCCTGATCCCTGCACACACTCCCTTCACCTTAGCCCTTCTCTCTTACACCTGTCTCTTCCTGTCCCCTCTCAGTTCAGACCTCTTATATGTACATGACAGATCCCAAACTGCCATCAATCTTACCCATATGTGAAATTTTCTTACTGCAAGAGATAAAATGTTGGGGACTTGGGATGTAGTTCAGTGACAGAACAGTCACCTAGCATGTACAAGCCCCTGAAGAGAAGGAGACTAAGAGGTAGAGGAGGGCAAGAGGGAGGAAAAGGGGTCATTTTTCATAGTGTAAGTCTGAACAAGTTACTTTCTTTCATATAAACCAGCTTTACCCAGGCAGTAGTTTGTGAAGGTGTCTACACAGAGTCCTGGTGCTCCATGAAGTAAAGTAACATCAGAGATGAGGACCTCCGGTCTCCAAAGCACAACACAACTAAGGAATTTCTGCTTATGCATGTTTTAGTTGCTAAAGTCAGAAGATTAGAAAAAAAAAACAAATATATTTTTAAAGAGCTCAAATTCCTAAGCAATGCAAAACCGAAACCAAAATAAAACAAAGGAAACCTTGGTATCATGATATGCATCCTGCTGGCATTGCCAATTTTATCTCTTGCCATCTGCTCCATATAAACTGCTAGGAACTCCCTGAAAGGTCTTCAGGAAGCACTCCCTTGGGCCCTACTTATAAGACACAGCTCAGACCACACCCCCTTAGCAAAGTCTTGCACGGGCCACACTCTTGTCCCAAACTCAGTTGGTCTGACCATATCTGAGCATGTCCTAAACCACATCACCGTCCACAGAGTGTGTTTAGTCATCTCCATGTTTCCTGCTCCACGCGCTGGTCTTTCAGAACAGACAGGCACCTTGGAGGGCAGCATGCCATGGCAGTAGACTCCGAAGGACTCCACTGAATGAGTGAGGCCCAATGATATGCTGTAGGGCACCTCAGTATGAACAAGTGGTTACCTAGACAGATGTCAAAGGAGTACTTTGGTTCTAAGTGCTCATGAAGACACATCTAAGAAGGAGCTTGCAAAACCTACTCTGAAGTGATATAATTAAGGGAAAAAAGTATATACACCAAAGGCAATTCCCATTTGGATGAACTGTCACAGTAGGATTCTCTGTTAGTGATGTCACATTTTTTCCATGTACACACTCGGTAATAAGCCATTTCAACAGAGAGAAACCAACTAGGAGTCTGGAGACACTAAGGACATTAAGAATTCCACAAAGCCTTTTGTCTCTTCTCCCTTACACGTACAAAACCAACGCAAAAATAAAATCCATAACAGAGAGGGAAAGAGGGAGGGAGAGAAATTGAGACCAAGAAATCTTGAATTTTAGGCTTATATTCACATTCTTCTTTGAAAAGAATTTCTTAGTTCTCTCTCTCTCTCTCTCTCTCTCTCTCTCTCTCTCTCTCTCTCTCTCTCTCTCTCTCTCTCTCTCTCTCTCTTGGTTTTTCGAGACAGGGTTTCTCTGTATTGTTTTGGAGCCTGTCCTGGAACTCGCTCTGTAGATCAGGCTGGCCTCGAACTCAGAGATCCGCCTGCCTCTGCCTCCCGAGTGCTGGGATTAAAGGCGTGCGCCACCACCGCCCAGCTTAGAATTTCTTAATTCTTAATTTACTAAATTAAAACAGAACAACTCACTTAATTTTTGTTGAACACATAGTTACATTCAGTAACTTTTAACATGCTTAATAATGAATGTGCATATGAATACACATCCCAAAGTGCACAATTTGCTACACACAGGCTTTCAGAGAGGAGTCCTTACATGAACAGGAAGAAAGTACATGCACTCATCACTAATAATTCAATTTGAGTCACGAATTCTTCTGATCCTCTCTTGACATGGAGTAACAGTTCTGACCAGTCTAAAATCCCAAAATTTATATTGAATCTACCACCCAAAAGTCAGAGAACTTTTGCTTAAGGATACACAGACATATAGGGAAATGGAATGGCATTCCACAGATACGGCTGATAATGCCTCTGCTTAGCTTATTTACACTGGGCATTCTTGTAATTTCAAAATGCCAACACCAGGATCCCAGAGTCACAAGATTTTTCTGCTTCCCCAGCTCCCTTCCTTACCACCACCAAAGAACTAACCCTGTCATCATGTGGACAGCAGCCCTCCTAACACTACACACTATGCACGCACAGCAGTCTTCTGCAAGGATTGTGT